AGGAGAAAGCAAACAAGAAAAAAAATACATTACAGAGCTCAATAACCAATCTATACTGTGATCAATAATCATCATCTGAAATTCTCTATCATTGATTTCCCTAATGAGCCACCTGCTCTGGGGTGAACTTTATTCTAAGCCCTGATTGGAGATCAGCTTACCTCCTTGAACTTCTAATTCTCTGTCAGGGTGGAGGAAATACAATACTGACCCTGGATCAGAAGGACAGATCCCGCCTCAGAGCTAATTTCTGTTGATTGATAGGCTGTCTATCCTTGTCCACACACACACACACGTGCACACACACACACACACACACACACACACACACACACACACACACACACACACTGCCTTGGCTTGTAGGTCAGCGCTAGCAGTTACCTGCCAGTTAACTACAAACACCAAACGTAAAATATGTCACTGTCACACACACTTATCATTCAATGCTAAGTTATATATCGTATCCAACCACATATACATAAACAGACACCACACTGCCACTACTCCCCCCCCCCCCGAGTGGCCTGAGGGTCAGCGCTGATCCGATGGTTCAGACCGCTGCCTACCCGCCACTGTTGTACAACATGTTGGTGGGCTCGGCCACTGATTAAAGACCCTCGGTCCGTCAATCAATCTGCCACGTTTCCCATTGGCCTTTCATGTGCAGCCTGCTCTCATTAAGACCCACTCTGCGGGCTTTAACATGAATTAGTGAATGAGGTGGAGGGGATAGCGGGTTGTTGTATACACTAGAATAGCCTTGTTTGAATCCTGTTTGCCTACATTATGTTAAGGGGAATGATGGCAAGTGAGAAGTGGTTGGGAATGGAATGGAGAGGGGTTAGTACATTCAAGGGTCTATGTAAATATGAAGCGCTTTATGAATAATCTGAATATATACAATGCGATCACTTCCTCTCTGCATCCAATCTTGTCTTTCTCGCCCTACTGCAATTAATCTCATCCTGCCCTTTTTTGTCCTTTTACCCTCATGTTGCCCTCCCCTCCTCCCTTCTTCCTTTCAGCTTTTCACGCCCATCAAGTACCTTCCACTGTCCCAATGAGGAGCGTGGATGACGCAAGAGGTTTGTGAGCTGATTGATTGAATAATCTTATTAGCAGGGTCAGAATGGCCAGCCACGGCTCCGGTGAGTGGGTGAGTAAGTCTTCTGGCAGGCACACATACACACCCACCGTGCAAACAAAAACAAAGTGTGGCACTCCAGATCCAGGTTATTAGGGTTACGTTGTCAACCACGACACACTGAGAACAACAAGTCCTCAGAGGCAGAGACGTCTCACTCACCTTGCTGAAAAAGACTCATCACTGTTGGCAAGTGTCTGTGTCCACCGTGTATATGTGATCCCCTGCAATGAGTGAGGTTAGGGCAGGAGAAGGAGGGAGAGAGAGATGAGAAGATAACAGTCAGACAGCAGCAGACAGTCAAAAAATGCAACAAACAATAAAACCCATTTCTCTTCTTCCATGTTTCCCCCTGAAGGCAGCGAACAACGTCAGAAATAGGGGCTTTGTATAAACTTTGTTCAAACTTAAAAAAATGACAATAAACAAAAGGAGGCCAGAGCTATTTGCTCTGTCAGACAGAAACAGTCAACAAAGGTTTAGAGCGCGGTGGCGCAGGCCCCAGGACAAAAGCCTCTTTGTCCCAGAGAAAGGTCTTGAGGGGGGGGTGGGAGGAGGGGGAGGTGGCCAAGTCACTCAGAGCTGTTCAGGTCAATTAAGCCTAGTGTTTGAGCCACAGGAAATCTATACTAACACTCATTATAGCTCAGACAAGAAGACTTGTGTGTGCTGGCCTGGAAACATACAGACTTCTCCCGTATTACAGCATTCTGCCATATAGGCCCCAGCAGGGCATATGGAAGACATAAAGCCCACAGGGGTTAACTACATCTCAGACAAGACGGACCGGCTGGACCCGGCGTGAAGCTACACACCTACTTACCGTGGAGAATTAGGGTGCAGGACAGGGAGAGGGAGGGTGCTGTTGTGGGGCAGAAGGTGTGAGCCGAAAATACATTAAGAAAGGGGGATTTACCTCGTTTGAGAAACAAACGTGACCGTGCCAAATTATGTAACTGCTTTAATTTGTTGGAGATTAGCTGTTGAACGTGTTTTTAATCAAAGTGTGTAACAGTGGCATCGTCAGACTCACAGCTTAATTATGTTCCAGCTCCCCAACCTGCGCCCAGCCAGTCTGCCTGCCTTGCTCGCTCATTAACTAAATCTAATAAAGTCTTTGGAGGAACAGGCATCTTGAAATGAATCCACTTATATCGCTTTCCTGGGGGCCACCGCCATCTCCTCGAAGATAAGACACAGTCTACTGTACATTATCAGCCACAACGCTTACATTGAATAATTAATCTTTGAGAGCAGTGGAAATTAAGAAAACAGAGACGCTTCTCCGTTAAAGCCACAGGCAAAATCTCCGTACAATGTTTGCTTTGTTTTTCGTCAGTACTCCTTCCTTCCATTTCTACACTGACAATTAAGTATGCAACAATTGATGAAGTACACAATGAAATATGCAATTGATATGACTATCTAAAACATATGACCATACATTCAATATTGCAATAAAACTAACCTATTGTCTTAATTTATAAATGGGTGAATATCCATTCCTAATTCCTAATGAGCAGAGCACAGGATTCGGACTCCTTTCAAAAAGCAGTTTTTGCTTTATAATATTTTGCTTTGAAAAAATCTCCTTCTTTAAGAACCGATTAAAATGAAACACTTTTTCATGCAATATTAATCCATGAAAAGAGAAAAGAAAAGGAGGTCACCTTTGGGTCACTGAGGTGCATGCCATGCCCAAATGCCAGATGCTGACTGTGCAGTCTGCATTGACTAAAACACAAGAGATTAAGGCCAAAACCTCAAACGTTGCTGCAAAGTGTTTTTTTATCAAAGCTCTCTGGTACCATTAACATTTCATTTCTCAGGCTCATCGATGTGGATTGCATTTCTGGGGTGCCTGAAGGGCCCCTTTGTGTTTTACAGTTTTTTTCACCTTGCTGCCAGGGTAACAGGATACATATCATGTGCCGATACAGTACATTTGATTATTTAAATTACAGCTGTAATTTGTCAAAAAATGAACCCGATCCCATCCAAGATAAGACAGTGAGGAAGAAACATTTAAATGGAAAGAAAGGTGATGGCAGATAAGGGTGTTTGATGATTTAGTCTTCAGCTATATTTCCTAAAGTTCTCAAACTTGCTAATCGAACTTAGTTTATATCTTATTATAAAAATTCGAACTTTATATTAAAAAGACAAAACTTAATCAAAAGCTATTAAATCAGAGGATTACTTGGCGGATTTAGTGTAATCCCGTGGGTTATTTTACAGCCCGCAATTTTGAAGCAGCTCATGAGCAATCTGTAATTGACTGCGCCATAATTTTCGACAGTAACCTTCCCCTGTCCTGTGCCTCTCCTCTCTTGTCCTCTCCTCTCTTGTGCTGACAGTGACCTCGAGGGTTGAGGGCTTCCAGCCGCACGCTTTTTGGTTCCAGCTGAGATTAGAGGGAGCCAAGCGATGAGGCGTCCCTCAAACATCCTGACTAGAGATGGAGAAGGACAATGGAGCGGCTGTGTCTGTGTCAACACCAGCTCTCTAAACACACACATGTGCAAGGAGACCCCCCCCCCCCTCCTTTAACTCCAACATGCTCACACAAACACACACATGGACCCTTTCCCCTCTTCACCACCGCACCTGAACTCATATTACAGCACTCCCCTCTGGTGTGTGACTCACAGCTATATAACTCTCTTCAAGAGACTACAAAGGTGGTATTGTATGTTGTAGACCATTAACTACAAATCCAATTAAGTTAACGTCATTACAGACCATTTTCAAAAGCAAACCTGACATTTTTAAATTGATTTTCTATCTTCCGTTTATCTATTGACCTATGAAAATCAATTTGCAGAGTTGCTAATCTGTTTGAAATACAAGACGCATCATAGGCAACAATAGATTGACTAAACTTCCTGGCAAAATGACGTTATTGTCGAAGTATATTCTGACATGTGACATCCTTACTGAAAGGCTTTGCATTAAAATAATAATAATAATTGGAGTTAGTTGATATCAACACCAGCGCTGAAACAAACACTAATTTATTAACTGATTAATCTGCTGATGATCGTCTTGATTCATAGTTTAATCAATTGGTCTAAATAATGTTAAAACCCTCAAGATATTCAATCTGCAATCCCCACAGAGAAGCTGCAACAGGATACTTTTTGAAATGTTGGTAAATTTTTTTATTAACAATCAAACTATTAACGTCCAATTGTACCAATATCTTTTAAAGTATCTGCCATTTTCTTGTTATGACTGTTCAAAGCCTGAAACACACAGACAGCCTACTCTCCTAGAGGCCTTAAACCGAGGTCAGATTTCAAGACAGTTCATGCCCACTAAAAATAGTTCAGACTAAACAACTGACCGAGTTCACGCTGCTGTTCTGTTGGAGCAAGACTGTAGCAAAGATCTAAAATACAACCTTAATGCAGTTCAGAGTGAATATGATTATTTGTTTTCTATAGAAAAATCTATTTGCATTACAGATGTGCAAATTAACATTTTACGTGTACATTTTTTATATAGGAATTAAACATATTTGAAGTGTTATGATCATTTGAGATCAGGTGAATTCTCATGTTTGGTTAAAACTCATAACAAAAGTGCAAAACAACTCTTTGTAGTTAAAATACTTGTAAGTTAACTTAGAATTGTCTTCTGTACCATAAGGGTTAATCCATGTATCTATTGCATTAGTTACTGTTACATTTCATTTTGAGTGTTGAGTAATTTCACACTGGGCCAAACACAATTAACAGAACACTAATGTCTTCAGCCTTGAGACAATTCAAACTTCATAATGACTCTCTAGCAGGGTTTTATTGTACCTATGGACGGTAAAACAACCATCTCCGGATTACTTTGATACTGAAAAATACCTAAGGATGTAATGATTCTCAGAAAAGCTAAACTGTGATAAGGATGTTCCTTTCTTTGACTTTTAAGCAGATTTATGGACGTTAATTTGCGAGGGACATTAAATCTCTTCCTCTGCACCCCAACAAATCTCCAGCACTCCCCTGGGGAGACTAACAGTCTCAAAAAACCTCAGACCTCTGCCAACCACTGGACCCAAATTGAATCGGTTTAAATGAGTCTCAGACTCAAATTTGTCTTGTGGAAACAGGTCTGTCCTTGGATACTGTTCACAAGAGACGTCATTTACTGAAATCCAACCAAAGATGTTTTGCTGCAAGCCCTTCTCATTCCCATCTTTGTCTCACCCTCAACTGTAACCCATGAGTCAATCATGCTCTGCACAGCACAGTGCTTTTACACAAAGAATAAGGGTCTACTGTTTTGTGGCTATGCTAGCAAATGTACAAATCCGTATGATAGTTAGATAAACTAAATAACAAAAGCCTTTGACAACCAAGTGCAGAACATTGTGAATCACTTGTCGGGGGCTTTGCATTTCCCGAAATTCACTGAGTAGGACGGAAGGTATGCGAATATCCTCTTAGACAGAAATATGGAGTCACTGTAATAGGATGAATACAGACACAGAAAGAGCTGAATGATCAAGACAAGACAGTTGACCAAGTGAGCATGGGCAAGAGTGTGAGATAGTGTACAGGGGTCTCCGTCGGACATGGAGCCATGCGTAACCATGAGAACACAGGGGCTTTGTGGGGAAGAATGTCGTTTTCATAACAGCGCATTTCTTCTGGGGTAACTGAGGGCCAGCTGTGTCCATCTGCAGGGCCTTTGTCAAACTATCTAGTACTTCTTTAGCAGTAAAGAGAGGAACCGATTAGCATGCACCCCACACCTTTTGCCACCACCCCTCTTTCCACAAACTAAATGCATGCACGTCCACCCTCCTCTCCACCTCCCACCCTTTTTTCTATCTCATCACCCTCTTCACCCATATTCCTCTCTGTTCATAACTGGATCATCAGTGGTGGAGGAGGGTCCATTGTGCATTGTCTTTGCATCCCCCTGGTTCAAATCCCCTTAACAAAGTGGATGGGAGGGATTGGGGACTCCAGCAGGCACCTCTGGGCTGTGAGGCCAGTTGCTGAGGTTCTGAATGGGCTGAGGGCACGGAGAGGCCCTCGCTGATGTGATGGCATGAAATACAACAAGCCAGAGTTCACTCACCCCCAAGTTGAGGCAGGTTGTTCTTTTCGAAGGTTGAGATTCTCATTATGGTTTTCTACATTCTCTGCACATCCCCTCTTGTGAGTTTGTGCATATGAGTGTATGTTTATGTGTGTGTGTGTGTTTGGGTCAGTGGGG